TACGTGTCAACCTGACATTAAGCACACCAGGCTGATTGGCAGCCTCTCTGTCCATCCCCTAACATAGAAGACCAGGTAAACATGTTTTACATGGTCTAAGTGTCTGTTGCACAGTGCAAGCACATGTAAGGATGCGCTCACACTCTTCTGCCTGAAGAAAGCAGGACAGGATCCTAAAATAGCTGCTGTCTGTTGAAATTGGAACTGTTGGGAGGCCTGTTTACATGTATAATTTGTTCAATGTTTACTTAAAGGGACACTGTATGCACCCAGACCACTTCAGCTCATTGAAGTGATCCTGGTGCTGTGTCCCTTTTGCACCTAGTGTTTACATTGCAGCTCTAAGTCTGCCCTCAGTGGCTGTCTATCATAATGGACTTTTGGTCCATTATCTGACGCTGGACATCCTCATGCTCTGCATGAAGACCTTGATTCAATTCTTTCCTATTGTGAGATCTAATGCACGTGCAGCATTTGCCACACATGCAACCCTGCTCGTCGCAGGAAAGAGCTTCGGCCCAGCGCCAAGGGACATCGGCGCTGGGATCAGGTAAGTAAATAAGGGGTTTGTAACGCTTTACTTACTGGGTAGGAGGGGGGCGCGAGGGAGGGGGGAGGCAGAGAGATCGGTAGTGCCAGGAATACAGCTTTGTATTCTTGCCACTACAGTATCCCTCTAATACAGTTGAGTCAGCCAGTGTATAATACCCCCAACTCCTGATCTGTAAAAAACTGTGTAGAAACCTATAACAATTTAAATATTCACCACAAACTTCAGGCCTCCCAGGCCACCTGGAACTCAGGCCAATTTAAAATACAAAGTTACTTTTCCTAGCTTCTGTTTATGGTTTCACATTACATGCAATAGTGAAAGTGCCTGAAAAGGGAAAGTGATTTTACAATAGCTCATCAGATCTGAGAGTCAGAAATTGTGACAGATAGACAGACGACTGGTACGTCTGGTCTCGATTGGTAGTTTAATGAAATGTACTGATGCCGAGAGTGGTTGGGTTTGACCCGCCAGCGCCAGTAGCTGCAGGGAGGGTTAATATCTCTCTGGGCCAATCTTAGGGACTCTACTAATTATATCTGACATTTAGCTTCAAAGCCCAGAACCTTGAGACATTAAATGTTATTAGAAAAGCCGTTAAGTGGCAGGGGGGATTACATTTGCTGGTGCATCGTGGCAATGGCATATCAGTAAGCTATGTAGCATTTTGCACTGCACCACCAGTCATGTCAAGAAAGATAGAACTATCTAAAAATGTATTCATAAGCCAGCTGGAAAATGTCAAATACAGTGGTTCGCACCATTTTTGGAGGTGACCCAGATGAATTCTAAGGAGTTAGCATCGAGACTCATTGCAAATTGTGAAGTTAAAGAAATATATGTGTGACCCATGGTTTCTTTTCTAAATCTCATCTTGTAAACTAACAATTTAAGCTGCTTAAAGGAACGCTATAATGTTAGGAATACAAAGCCGATTTCCTAACTTTATAGTGTACCTCTGCTCCCTCCCGCGGAAGATAAAGAGTTACAAAAAGCCTTTTCTCACTCACCTTATTCCAGCACCGAAGGGTGCTGACTCCACCTCCTTCTACGTCAGCGCCAAGGGGTAACCTGAGGCACATGCGCATTAGGCCTTGTAGATGCTGGATGTCCTTATGCATAGCGTAAGGATATCCAAAGTCATTTCACGGAGTCAAATTCCATTAAAAACAGCAGGAAACACCTCTAATGCTGTCTGATAGACATCCACTAGAGGCAGTCTTAGTATTGCAATGTTAAAATTGCAGTTTCTCTGGTCTCAGGAGGACAGAGACACTGCACCTAGACCTTTTCAATGAGATGAAGTTGTCTCGGTGCCTATAGTGTCAGTATTTTTAAAGTTGTGGCTGATCATTGTACATATATATATATATATATATATATATAAAATAAGGAATTAGGATGCACTCACTCACTGTGAGTGCATCCTAATTCCTTATTTTTTACATGTTTTTGACGTATAGGATATTAGCACGCAGGCTAGTATTCTGCATTTATCATTTAAAGGAGAGTGCCAAGCATCTATCTTTTTGATATATATATATATATATATATATATATATATATATACACACACATATAAACCAAAAAATTACACCAAAGGCAATCTGAATACCCTTGTGGCTATAAGAGGGAAAAGAGAAATTAGAAAAATTACCCCTTTACATTAGGTAGTGTGAAGACTCCTCGCAGGAGTTCATTGATCATTTGTGTTCAATGTGTGCAAGATTTTACTTTACACATGCAGTTGCTTGTTCCAAGGAGCACCACTGGCAAATTCCTCCCTGTCAACATGTTTTGTAGGCTGCCATAACCAACTCAGTGGTATGAGCTGGTGTGATAGCCAGAAAGTATAATTCTCTGCTCTCTGTAAGGCTTAGCTACAACTTGTGCTTTTAAGCCATGTATTTAACTAAACAGATCCAATGCTGACACGTTAGACACACTATTTGAGCACCATAACCACTATGACAAGACAAACCAAGAGTGTCCCTTCAATGAGTGATAAATGTGTAAATAGACTGTGTATTAGTGTGACTTGTGTGTGTTAGTGTGAGATAAGTGCACAAGTTGAGTGTTAGTGAACTGAGTGTGTGTGAACGGAGTGTGTGATAATGGTGTACAGGGAGTGCAGAATTATTAGGCAAATGAGTATTTTGACCACATCATCCTCTTTATGCATGTTGTCTTACTCCAAGCTGTATAGGCTCGAAAGCCTACTACCAATTAAGCATATTAGGTGATGTGCATCTCTGTAATGAGAAGGGGTGTGGTCTAATGACATCAACACCCTATATCAGGTGTGCATAATTATTAGGCAACTTCCTTTCCTTTGGCAAAATGGGTCAAAAGAAGGACTTGACAGGCTCAGAAAAGTCAAAAATAGTGAGATATCTTGCAGAGGGATGCAGCACTCTTAAAATTGCAAAGCTTCTGAAGCGTGATCATCGAACAATCAAGCGTTTCATTCAAAATAGTCAACAGGGTCGCAAGAAGCGTGTGGAAAAACCAAGGCGCAAAATAACTGCCCATGAACTGAGAAAAGTCAAGCGTGCAGCTGCCACGATGCCACTTGCCACCAGTTTGGCCATATTTCAGAGCTGCAACATCACTGGAGTGCCCAAAAGCACAAGGTGTGCAATACTCAGAGACATGGCCAAGGTAAGAAAGGCTGAAAGACGACCACCACTGAACAAGACACACAAGCTGAAACGTCAAGACTGGGCCAAGAAATATCTCAAGACTGATTTTTCTAAGGTTTTATGGACTGATGAAATGAGAGTGAGTCTTGATGGGCCAGATGGATGGGCCCGTGGCTGGATTGGTAAAGGGCAGAGAGCTCCAGTCCGACTCAGACGCCAGCAAGGTGGAGGTGGAGTACTGGTTTGGGCTGATCATCAAAGATGAGCTGTGGGGCCTTTTCGGGTTGAGGATCAAGCTCAACTCCCAGTCCTACTGCCAGTTCCTGGAAGACACCTTCTTCAAGCAGTGGTACAGGAAGAAGTCTGCATCCTTCAAGAAAAACATGATTTTCATGCAGGACAATGCTCCATCACACGCGTCCAAGTACTCCACAGCGTGGCTGGCAAGAAAGGGTATAAAAGAAGAAAATCTAATGACATGGCCTCCTTGTTCACCTGATCTGAACCCCATTGAGAACCTGTGGTCCATCATCAAATGTGAGATTTACAAGGAGGGAAAACAGTACACCTCTCTGAACAGTGTCTGGGAGGCTGTGGTTGCTGCTGCACGCAATGTTGATGGTGAACAGATCAAAACACTGACAGAATCCATGGATGGCAGGCTTTTGAGTGTCCTTGCAAAGAAAGGTGGCTATATTGGTCACTGATTTGTTTTTGTTTTGTTTTTGAATGTCAGAAATGTATATTTGTGAATGTTGAGATGTTATATTGGTTTCACTGGTAATAATAAATAATTGAAATGGGTATATATTTGTTTTTTGTTAAGTTGCCTAATAATTATGCACAGTAATAGTCACCTGCACACACAGATATCCCCCTAACATAGCTAAACTAAAAACAAACTAAAAACTACTTCCAAAAATATTCAGCTTTGATATTAATGAGTTTTTTGGGTTCATTGAGAACATGGTTGTTGTTCAATAATAAAATGAATCCTCAAAAATACAACTTGCCTAATAATTCTGCACTCCCTGTATATGTTTTTTGTGTGGTATGTGTTAATTTGCTTGTGTGGGGCAGAGTCGGTATGTTAGTGTGAACTGAAAAGCTATGATATACATTTGTTAGTTTGAGAAAATAATAATATAATAATATATGCTTTGATTTCTTTTTTGTTAAATAAAGGGAAACTTTAGACACCCAGACCACTTAATCTCAATGTGGTTTTGAAAGTAAAAACATTGCTGTTCTGCAGAAAGGCAATGTTTAAACAAGTAGTGGTTGTCACTCAGACAGCCACTAGAGGCGATTCCAATAAAATAGCAGAGTAAAACCATCCGATCTCCTACAACTTTAGATATTAATAAATAAACACGCAAACTGCAGGAAGGCTGCACTCTCTTATATGACTAGGTTGTGATACCACAGAGCCATACAATATTGTATCCAGTATGTGTGCTTAAATACAAACCATTCAACTAATAACAGTCATTGCAACATTCCTGTACGATACATAGACCTTTATCAAGCATAGAACACTATACTCAAATATGAAGAGCAGCATGCCTACTATCATGTGAAATCTTTAAAGGGTTGCCACAGCCAACAAAAGTGTTTTAATCAAACACTGTGTTTGTTTGTAGTAACCCTTGCTGGCATATAAAGGATAATTCTGGGTGCCAAGTTCTTCATGCAGCCTGGTCCTTCTTTGCTGATGTTACTCCCCCTCACTGTAGTGTGAAAGACATCCAGAAGAATGGGCTGTATGTATGTGTGTATGTGTGTGTCTCTGTGTGTGTGTGTCTGTATGTGTGTGTGTCTCTGTATGTATGTGTCTGTACGATACAGACACATACATACAGAGACACACACACACAGACACATGCATACAGACAGACACACACACATACAGAGACACACACACATGCACACATAAACAAAATGTTTAAGTCACCCTCCTGTTTCCTACCTTTTACAGGAGGGTGACTTTCCCTGGGGTCCAGTGGGGGCTCAGCCTGTTGGGAGTCAGAGTTCCCACTCTGACTCCCTCCTTCTTCTTCCCGTGCAGTTCTCTGATAGCTGGGAGGAGTGGCCAGGGCAGTTTCTTCCTCCTAGCTCTGTCTGATGTCATCAGAGGGGGCCTGGTCACACTTAAAGTGCCCCAGCGCTGACTGGGCCCCCTGAAAATCCATATACATCGGGTGGCCCTAACAGCATGGGCCACCCAATGGGCCCCTTAATGTGCAGCCCCAGAGGTTTTCCACGCAGGCAGGGGCCGCAAAACATGGCTGCGGGTACCTGGTCGCAGGGGTCTGCAGGGCGGCTGGGCCCCCTGGAGTGACGGGCCCAGTCGCAGTTGCGACTGCGGTATGTACGCCACTGGTTGCCAGCATATACTGACAACAGATGCCCAATATGCACAGGATTGCCATTAGCCAGCATTGAACTCTTGCTCTCTGTTGCCTAATGATGCTGCACAAGGTGGAGTTACACCTCCAGCAACACTGTGTGTATGTCCCAAACTTAAACATTGCACTCAAAGACTCCAAAAGCCATGACCACCAAAATACTAAAGTGGTAACGGTGCTTGGAATAACCCTTAAAATATGTTTTATGAGTTTAATCACATGTTGATTTGATAATTCTTGAGCAGAATGCTTCTGTATTGCTCATGCTAGTAACCATAGTGCGACACATCCTGTGTTTTCAAGGATCTTGATCCCTAAAGCAAAACACCAGATAAACTGAGCAAGATTGTGGGACAGGGCCACCAAATCATGACTGTCCTGTCAAATGCATGTACTAGGAAGGTATGCACACACACACAAAATAATGTAATTATCTTTTAAGTCTAGTATTTAACAATTTTAAATAGTCAAACTATTTACCAGTAAGAGTATATTGAGATTTCTGTGGGTTTTTTTAAAATTTATTTTATGTAATGTTTTTTGCTGTTGCTACAAGACATAGTAGGCAGTATGACATACATAGGGTATGACATATACTATATGTCATATAGTATCAATATTGTTACTGTGATGGAAACTTTTGTTCCCCAGACTTTTGGAGAGGATTGAATGCCAGCCTTCTGCAACACAGACTATGGGCTTGGTCCCAAGAGCTCCTGAAAGGGCTGTTGTCAGTGTGGAGATATGGGGGCCCCAGATGTTTACTGTGCTTCCCAGCTGGACTTGAGGACCTCTGGGGATTGATTGGACTCATTTAACACATTGAGCACCAGACAGGGAGATACCCTGAAACACTATGGAACTGTTCTTTGGATTAGGACTGTGCCGAGATCCAGCAAATCTTTAAGTGGGTATTGCTTGGTCCCCCAACCTCCAAATAGATAGCTATTTTGAGGGAAAGTCAGGGTGACACAGAGGATTTGGAGCATACCTGGGGCTTGAGAGTGCTCCCGGGAACTCCTTTTGTGAGACCGGTACTAAGCGGTCTACGACTGGAACTCACTAGATCGTAGAATAGCTGTGATCCAGTAAAGCTTTACATGCTGTAACAACTGTTTCTCTGATTAGGGCACTATTTGGACAGCCAGGGGCCTCGTGAAGAGCTTTCCTGGGATATATATTGTGTTGGGTACAGTTAAAGGAAAGGTGGTTCTAGTATATATTTTGTGTCCTGTACCTCTAGTACTGTGAAAGCACACAAGGAAGCCAATTGTGTTAGCTGGGGATAACTTAATTTAGATCCCAGACAAAGTGGCGCCAGGGAGGAACAATTGTACTGTGCATTGTATTGTATGGAGGAACCTCTGCACTGAGACTCAGCACTGTTCTGTATAAATAGCTGTGCTTTGTACAGAAAAGCTCATTCTTCCCCATACATTCTGACTCGTGTAATGTGTGGAGTAAATTGTAAAGCTATAATAACAACTCTACAGCAGAGAGGGTCTCCAGAACTATAAAATTAAACTCCTAGGTTAAAGAATTTAACCCCTCTCATGCGGAAATGGGGTGGGTGAATGAATACTTTTGATGGCTTAAGTATGTGTCTATAAATAGCCTTAGTGGCAGCACTTGACACCGACACTATCACCGTTAAGACCATGTCAAGGTAGTACTGTGCTAGAAATAGTAACTTGACAAAATAAAGAAAACAATGATTGTACTAAACATACATCGTGCCTTATGCAACAAAAGTATGTACAATTCTATCACTGAATCCCATTCCCCTCCAGGTATAAAAGATGTGACTCTAGTAAGGTTCCAGATATGTTTAGAGGTTGGTCTTGTCATTGACGGGGCTTAGTCCAGAAAGAATGTCCAAAGCCTTGATTTCCTGTCCTTAATGATTGAGAGGGACCTTGAGGAAGACTGCATTTTGGAGGATCTTCGTTGCATAGACTTTTGCCACAGCAACAATGTCTTGAAAAAAAATGTGAGGCTAAGTTACTCAAACACTTAAGGCATTCTCCCCTTAATTGAATTCAGGAGACAATGTTTATCAGCATAAGTCTGACAGCACAAAATAATATATAGCCTTTACCACAACTAAGTCACCAACAAACAGTTTTGTATATCTGTCAGTAGGTTTTGTAGGTCCTGTTTATGTCGGGGGCACCGTCCTCCAGTACTGTTTGGGCATCTACCAATGTTGTAAAAGGCAAGGCCCTGTCTGATGTTCCCTTGTCTTGTAAGGCGGTATAGGCCTCAGGGTGTATTGGCGCCATTTCTTTAAAGGACCACTCTAGGCACCCAGACCACTTCAGCTTAATGAAGTGGTCTGGGTGCCAGGTCCCTCTAGGATTAACCCTTTTTTTTTTTATAAACATAGCAGTTTCAGAGAAACTGCTATGTTTATAAATAAGTTAATCCAGCCCTCAAATCCTCTAGTGGCTGTCTCATTGACAGCCACTAGAGGCGCTTGCATGATTCTCACTGTGAAAATCACAGTGAGAACACGCAAGCGTCCATAGGAAAGCATTGTGAATGCTTTCCTATGCGACCGGCTGAATGCGCGTGCAGCTCTTGCCGCGCATGCGCATTCAGCTGAAAGGGAGGAGAGGAGGAGGATGGGAGCTGGATACTCTCTTTACTAGCGAGTATCACAGGAGTATTTCCAGAAGGTGAGTAATCACTCTGCTCTGTTAGCTCAGTTGCTGTCAACTGCAGCCCAAGGATTGCCTGCGCAGTAGGCCCGAAGTACACGGCGTTGAGTATTTAAACCTGGGGAATAGAAGAAACGCATCCTCTCATTCAGAGTGGTGTCTGTAGTCTTCTGTTGGCACTCCCACCATAAACTGGTGGAAATGCGGCAAGAGGCAAGATTGTGGATTGGATACTCGGAGCTGCGAGAAATGCCGTTTGTATCGGTGTGCTTCCAAGCTGCGCCCTCTGATTTCTGTAATTTTTATCTATGACCTATGGCCTACAGTGCATCTTGTATGGATGGAATTCTAGCCTTAACCTACAGGAAATAGAGGCAGCAATCCTGAAGTTTGAACACGTTCTATTGTTGAAACATAATTTCAGTTCTTATTGTTTCTTATCTTGTTATATTGTTATACAATATCCACCGATGATTTATTACCGTGGCGCTTTCTTCTCAGTTTAAAAAAAAACTTTGGTCATTTTTCTGGACACATTCAGAGTCTTTTTGTTTTAATTTAATAATTATAATGATAAAGTTCATCCACTTAGCACTCAGACATCTAAAGGACTACAGCTGATGAGATGATGCAGTGTTACTCTAAATTAATCTGATGCTGGTTACAAATTAGCATCCCTTTTTAGAGATCATAGTACAACCTTGTATATTTAACCATACAAATACCACTTCATCGTAGTTGCTGGTTGAATTAATAAAGATGAATCTGAGCTCCCTGAAACAGCTATTAGATACAATGCACTCTGTTGGGTTATATGGTGAAGGCTGATGTCATACGGAATGCTTGCTTACTGCCCCAGGGTGAGTGTGGTGAGAATTTAAAGGCATTTAGGACACACAGACATTGCATAGCTCATCTCTTGATGCCAGTAAAGGTGTTAACAGCAGGTGAAAAGGAGGGCATCCTGCATCAGGATGTCCATATCAATCACTTTCAAAGGTTTGCTCTGGGGAATCACAGTAAGCCACACTCCAGACAGCCTGTGAATGCATCTCTCTGACATCCAGTCTTTGTTTCCCCCTCCCTCCCTGTGCGCTGATGTATTGCTGCAGTCCAGGGCAAGGCTTATTTAGTCAAGTCATACTCTATCAAACTAGTTGAAAACCAGCGGCACAAATTGTGTGTGTTCGTATGTGAACGTGTCTGCAGGGATGTATTATCATGTCAACACAAATTCTTATTCTATGCACTCAGCTCCAGCCTGTGCAGACCTTGCCGGCTATAGTACAACATGAAGAATGTGTCCTACGAAAGACCACTGATCTATTTTATTCTAAGTGATACTGTCTGCAAGAATCAATGGACTGATAATGTCTACCTATATGCACTTATCGAGGCAGAAAATTTGCTCTGTTCTTATCTGTCAGGTTGAGAGTGTATGTGTTTTTATTTTCAGGAAGCAGTGAGTGTGTGTCAGCTGAGAAAGAGGTATGCATAGGGCCTGGAATGTCTGTATAGTTAGTGACTGTAGGGGTGAGTAGAAATTCTAATACTGTATTTTTCTCCTTTAACCCCTTAAGGACCAAACTTCTGGAATAAAAGGGAATCATGACATGTCATGTGTCCTTAAGGGGTTAATGTGCAGCAGTACATTTTCTTTGTGTTTTTTTTATTTTTTTTTAGGTTTTATTGTAAATATTTAGCACAGCTATTGCGAACACCAGCAATTGAGTTAGTAATACATATGTGTGTGTATATATATATATATATATATATATATATATATATATATATATATATATCAGGGCA